TGTATTAATTTTCTTCAATAATTTAAATATCTATTAGGTTAAGTAATAGCTTAGTATGTTTAATTTTATCAATTAAAGATCCAAAAAACTTAAAAAAAGATATGTATATTGATAATATGAATGTACTTATAGCTAAAAATAAGTAAATATAATTCATTTTAATCATATTATCGTAGTGATTATATGTTATTTCTGTCATTTTCTACACCAAACTTTCAACTACATATTAAAAATAGATTCTTGCATATAAATTTTGAGCATTATTAAACTCTTATTCTTAATTTATAATTAACTATACAAATTTAGTTAAATCATTTTCAACAAAAGCCGAAATTCTTTAAGAATAAATATTTATTAAAAATTATGCTACTTAAATAAACCCTTTGTTAAAAATACCATTTGCTATTGATTTGCATTCTTCTATTTAAAATAGATTATCACTTATAAGATTTTAGTTTTCACTAACTGCCTAGCAAGCATTTTATTAGAAAACTTGAATAGAATATTCTTTAAAATCAGATTATATATCCTAATCATATAATTAGTTAACCAAGTCATTCAAAATTGTAAGGTATTTTTGGTTTTAATATGCATCATTTAAGGCTAGATCGATATATTCTTGAGTTGCAGTTTGCTATAATTTTAATAAGATAATTGGAGACCTTAAAATTTGTAAATTTATTACATAATCACTAACCATCATTAAATCATCTAAGTAAGTTATAAAAAATATTAATTATGTTTTGAATAATAACTAAATAAATAATACCTATAAATTTTCTATTGACTTTCTCCTATTATATAAAATTATTTAGTAAAAAATAATTTGTCACGCTGGCAACCTAAGCCAATAAGAAAAAAGATAGAGATAAGATAGCAACTTTAATTTTAAACTCATGGATACTATTTGTAGCACTTATATTTTTCTTTTTTTAAATTTGATCTTCAATATGTTTTTAAAGATTTTATTAGCTTGACATTTTATTTTTTGTTTGTGTAAATTTATCATCTTAATTAAGAGAATTTGATTCTATTAAATGTAAGCAATTTGTAATTTCTTTAATCATAAAAATTAAGTTTTTTGGTGTAAGAGTAGCAAATAATTTTAATATAATCTAGATCTTTTGCAGGAAGTAATAGTTTATAATAGGAAAAGTGAGGGCGAATATAAAAGTAGTTACTGCAATTGCTATTAAAAATGCAAGAACAATTTCTTCGTTTTAATCAAAAGTTTAGTTTACTTTATTAGAAACTTCTTTAGTGATGTTAGTCAATAAGTTATAATTAGAAATATAATTTTAAGAAATTTAGTTTTGGTTTAATGATTGAGGATCTTAATTATTGCTCACAAAGAACAATTGAGCAAAATTTATTAACAAAGAGTAACCAAAATTTAGATTTGTCTATGATAAAGTTGTATTAGAACTGACAAATACATAATTAAACTAATTATTAAGTACGAAATTATAAAGGTCTGTTTGC